CATCTCATTTGTTTTTCTTTGATGTAAAGCTAATTATGTGTCTGTTGCTGCTGCCTCTTGGCCAGATCGTTATTGTAAATGAGAATGAGTTCTCTATCGACTCATCTGGTTAAATAAATAACATTTTAAGTTGTTTCTTCAAATGCACTGACAAACAAGTAAAATAATTTTCCTTTTTGACGTTTCATTATCTAAACACATTTTATTTACTTATTTTTATATTCTTTATTTAACCTGGAAGGTTCCATTGAGATTAAAGTTCTCAGTTTTGAGGGAGCCCTGGCCAAGAGGCAGCAAAAGATACAGTCACAACATTTCTGTTACAGTTATGTTCAAAATTATAGAAGGCAGTTACAACCAGGGCGTGGGACAAGAAGTAAGCCACAAGTTGCCTTATGTTGCAATCATCACACTTTATTTTCCACATGCATTAGGAGAGATTCTGCCGCCCCAGTCCCTGTGACAAATCTGAATATTTTACAAGATGTACACCTTTTGATTCTTCCTCTCATGCTGCAAAGTTTCATGTTGACCCCTCCCTAACTTTATTGAAGGCCATCACCTGTTGCCACGGTAACTGACACCCCTCTCTGCTTTCACTCCCTCCTCCAGATAAGATGGGAGACACATTGCCCCATCTGCTTCCTACCCTATCTTCCTTTGCTAAGGCTGCGATGACCTACACCCTGGCTTTTTCCCGTTGAACAGCTTTTAGATGGTCTAGTCTGCACCTGGCCTTCGCCTGTTGAGAATCTCCTTCAGCACAAGCTGAAACTTCTAGCAGTATCAGCCTGCATAAATCAGATATAGGTCTAACTCAGTGCTAGAACGTACCAGTCACAGGTGAGTCATCCATTTGGTATATGCATCGTTCAGTTCAAAGGGACGTGAGTAACACCCGAACACTGAAATGATTAATATGGGGATTAACATACAGGTGATTCATTATAAGCATATAAATACATGTGTGATCAAACCTTATTTTCACAAAGCATACTGATGATTAACCATAGATAGATAGATAGATAGATAGATAGATAGATAGATAGATAGATAGATAGATAGATAGATAGATAAATGATAGATAGATAGATAAATGATAGATAGATAGATAGATAGATAGATAGATAGATAGATAGATAGATAGATAGATAGATAGATAGATAGATAGATAGATAGATAGATAGATAGATAGATAGATAGATAGATAGATTTTTTTCCTGGTTTGTGAAATAAGATTTGTGTAGAGATGAGATTTCAAAGTTCTTTTGAGGTAAAGCCACATAAACAGAACACAGATACAAAATGTGCATCCCAACAAATAAGACAACCAACACCCAAATCCCATCTGTCAGCCAGAACTGGCCCACCAGCAATGTTCTTTTTTCTCTTGGAACTCTGGAGGCTCGGGGGAGTTCTTAAAGCTATGGTATTATCCAGACGGTTTGGACGTAACCTTAGGGAAAGCGTTATGTTCTTTTGGGGCCGGCTTCCCTTACTTCCGCTTGTCGTTATGTTGTTGAGGGTGGTTACTGTTTGGTTGAGTCTGCTCCCCCTTTGTTTCTGGTAAGGCCTCATATTTGGATTCTCTGGGTGAATCCCCAGTATTCGCACAGATAAGTTCATGTTAAGGCCGAGTGTTAAAGGGCCATATTACTCAGAACATTTCTGGAATATCATTTTTGTCTTAACAAGTCTTCTTCCATTTTGTGTTGTCGTTTATCTCCCGTAGGGACGCTTTTTGGTTCTCGACCGGAAAAGGGTGGTTTGCCAACTCCGGGTCGGGAGAGAGGTCCAATCTCAAGTGGAGGAGTTTAAGTATCTTAGGGTCTTGTTCACGAGTGAGGGTAGGAGGAATCGGGAGATCGACAGGCGGATTGGTTCAGCGTCTACAGTGAAGCGGACGCTGAGCCGATCTGTCGTGGTGAAGAGGGAGCTGAGCCAGAAAGCCAGGCTCTCAATTTACCGGTCGATCTACGTCCCAATCCTCACCTATGGTCATGAGCTTTGGGTAATGACCGAAAGAACGAGATTGCGGATACAAGCGGCCGAAATGAGTTTCCTCCGTAGGGTGGCCAGGCTCAGCATTAGAGATAGGGTGAGGAGCTCGGACATTTGGGAGGGACTCGGAGTAGAACCGCTGCTCCTCCGGCTCGAAAGGAGTCAGTTGAGGTGGTTTGGGCATCTGGTCAGGATGCCTCCTGGACGCCTCCCTGGGGAGCTGTTTCGGGCATGTCCTGCCGGCAGGAGGCCCCCGGGTCGACCCAAGACACGTTGGAGAGGTTACATCTCCAATCTGGTCCGGGAACGCCTTGGGGTCCTGCCGGAGGAGCTGGTGGAGGTGGCCGGGGAGAGGACGGTCTGGAGCACCCTAGTTGGGATGCTGCCCCCGCGACCCAGACCCAGATAAGCGGAGGAAGACGACGAGGGACGCTTTTTGTTGATAAAATGTTTGTTTTGTCAAATGTGATTTGGTGTACTGCTCTCTTTTTTTTTCTTTTTTTTTTTTTTTTTGCACTCACGTACCTGTGTTAGCCCTCCCAGGATCCCAGACCTGGTTGAGGTTGTAACAGAAGAACTTGTTTTATGCATTGTGTGTAAATAAACTCAAGTTTGGAGGAAGACATTGTCTCAGCCCATTGTTTGATCTAGCGTGAGCACTCTCCGTACCGAAAATAATAACAGTCGTGGGGCTCTAGGTTCACACTTGTACCAAATTAATATATAGTCAATTTGCTTTCTTTCGCTGAATTTCTACTTTGTTCTTGATGGTCGCACGTGTAGCATCATGAATGGCCTCATTTTGTGGGGCAAAGTTCACACTTTCCAGCTGGGTCACAGCTGGGTCGAGCTGTAACTTCCATCCACAGATTAAACCACCAGGAGCCGAATAGTCTACAATAACACCGTCTTCAATCTGACTGTTTATCTGTTTGCTGTTCCATCACGAGATGAAGGACCTTCAACTCTAATCAAAAAATTTAATAAACTCTTTTATTATAAGGTTTACTTTAATCATCATAAATGATCATCATGGTTCATTATAAATGTATTTTTAACTAATGAAATGACTTATTATTCTTTGGTTGATAATTATCATTTATGATAATCAGTAATGTGTGTTCAGTAACCAGAAGGTCTTTTGCACGTGTTTACACCTCATGCAGGACTCACTTCAAGGTAGCTGCCTCACATGTCTTCCATAGTCATGCTTCCTGTCTCTGAGAGGGCGTGTTCTGAGGTTTTTTTAAAACCAAAGCTCCACAGCTTAAGTTCAGTTCTTGAACCAAGCTGATACTTCTTCGTGGCAACGAGAGTATCCCAGAGGAGAAGGGTCGGCCGCCTGACTCCTCACTAAGCGTTCTGTCACGCCGATAGAATAGCTCTGAATAAATGCACCTATAACCAGCTGACACTACGAGATTCCTTAAGAATCTGCCCGGATGCAAAGCCACATCTACCTGTGCACCTCACGGCAACTCAGCCTATTGTTTCCTCTGGTGTTCACGAGTGTGTGTGTGTGTGCGTGTGTGTGTGTGTGTGTGTGTGTGTGCGGGTGATTGTATGTCCACTTTGGAAGTTGGGTGCGGGAGGGGAACTGTAATTTTTAATTGTTTTATACTTGGGGAGGGGGGCTGGGATGGGAATGTGGGATCTATGGGGCCATTTTAATCTGTAAAGCACTTTGAGTTGCATTTTTTGTATGAAAAGTGCTATATAAATAAAGTTGATTTGATTTAGGACCAGAGAAAGTCGGTACCCTTGGTCATCCGCCGGACCTGAGTACCCCCGAGGCTGACAACATCCTCCAGATCCACACAGAGGGTCGTCTGAACGGTGAGGTAGAACACAGATTGCGTCCGATGTTGTTCTCTCTAAGAAACCATCAGTTAGCTGCAAAACCAACGTTTCACCCAGAACGCGTTCTCCCTCTGAAAGAAAGCTTCTGAGATTTCATTCACGCATCCAAACCTCATCATTCCACTTAGTTTTCCATCCAGACACAGGGGTTGCTTTAATAACAAGTTTTAATATCAAAATTGTTGTTCAAATTTGTCATTTATAAATTGTTATTCATAAACTGTCTATTTTAAGTTGTCAGATTTGAAATTGTTAGTAATAAATTCTTAAATTTTTAAACCTGACTCTTCTTTGAATGAAACACAGAATGGTGTGCATTTTCAGTTATTGAATCAGCAAAGAACCTTATTAAGTCTTCTGTTTAATAAATAAGCTTTTGCTATTAATTTAAATATCTTAAATTAAATATTAATCCGTAGATTAAATATAAACCAAGCTCGTTGGTGTATGAACTTCTATCGATTATATTAATATCCTAGATGTTTATATATGATAGAAGCTTCATATGTTAACTTGTTTGTCTTTCTCAGAATCTAACAAAGCTGATAGCAACAGCGTTAGTTCTAGTATGTAGATTAACCCTACACACGTGTAAACCATGTGCACAAACACATTCCGTGCAAACACACACGCGCACACATGCAGTTAAATGTCTTAAATTAAATTGTGTGCATTAATCTTATAGTACAAGCAGTAGAGTTGTTATCATCTGTAATATGTTTTGATGGTGGGCTGGTTTGATTAATATGTGTGATAGGCTGGCCGATCAACTGGTTGAGACACCAACCAGTCCTGCTACATCTACATACAAACAGTCCAAAGAACTGGGTGTGAGCGTAGCCTCTGTGTGGCCCTCCACATACGGCCCCTTGAACACCCAGATGGTCTGTTACACATACGTTTCTGGTTCTGATCAAGCGGCCAAGCAGTCAACAATATTTACATACAAACAGTCCCAAGTCAATATATACGTCTGTGGTACCAAGAACTGGGTGTGAGTGTAGCCTCTTTGTGGTCCCCCACAACATGATGAACACAGGCTTTAAAAACTCTGGACATCTCCTGTGATTTAGATTCATCATATATTTCCCCCAGTTTCAGCTGAGTGTCTCATTTAGTAACAAAACATGATTGTGAGCTCTCTCTCAAGTCAAGTTTATTATATAGCCCATTTCATACACAAAACGGTAGCCCAATGTGCTTCACATAGTTAAAACAATCACAAGTGAAATGAAATAGTTAAAATGTCACATCATGTTGTGTAAAATAAAATCAAAGAATATTGACACAGAACATAGCACACAAAAATAAAAGCATATTAAGTACAATTATTGGTAGCGCTTTCTTTTACAGTCCTCTAATTACATAGTACTTACATGGTAATTAGTAAGTTAGTGAATTGTTTCTGAATTCTTAAATTGTTATTATTATGTAACTCATGTTCAATTCTAGTTTTTATCTTTATTAATCATTCCTAGTATATACAGCTTTACACAATAACTACACCAGGGTTTCCCTTACATAGGTGTAGCAGTGGCGGGCCACCACGGCTGAAATCCCACCGCCACGCCTACAAGATCCCAAGTTTTGATTTTTTTTTTAGCTGTTTCCCGAGGAAGCAGCGGGAACTACTATGTTGTCGCTTGTGATCACAGCCGGCAGGCAGCAAGGAGGAGCAGGCAGGGCAGGGTGAAGTTACAGCATAAAGGTAGCAGTGGATATAATGCTTTTTGGTTTACATGTTTCAATAGCATTAAGATAAACGAGCGTTGACGATCTTGACAGGGTTTCCTCTCCCCACCAGGATAAGCATCACTTATTCATGTAAAATTTATTTTATTTTTTCATGTTTGACTTTAACCGCATCTAATACTGTATTACGATGTGAGCCCAACAGCGACAACTTAAGATCGACGTGTGAGCAGCCTGAGAGGTCGGGTGTTTCATCTGAACCCTTAAAACCTCCAGCAGGCTACGCTGCACTATTGACGTGTTAGCGCGCAGCGCTAACAACTTAGGGACGTGACAAGTCTCGGAGAAAGCGTAAAAACACGTTGAACGCTTCTTCTGAAGCAGGAAAATAACACCTCTTCAAGCAGAGCACGACGTCGCCTCAGCTCGTTCACGGCCGAGCCAGACTGAGCTCGATAACAATGACCCAGCACAGCCACTGGGTCGTTGGAGCTGCCCCGTGACTGCCTGATGGAAAACCAGTGGGTTTCATCAGGCTCGTAAAGTTTGTTTTTGCTGGGGACCCCCTGTATTTTACCGCTCCCTCCTGCAGTCTTCCCCTATTAACATTTAAAATGATTCTGTAAATTCCGTGTATCAAAAGAAAAAATCTCTGCCTCTGCCAGCTGCAGTAAATGTAGTCTCCAAATAATAAATAAGAGGGGCATTCATCTGTGTATCTCCTTTGATCCGCATTAGTGATATTCTCAGCACCAGAACAGTGAAGCCAAGAAACAGATTCCTGAGTTTGTTATAATTTTAGGTGCATCTAACCTGTTCTATTTTTCTCTGAAATGAGATCAAATCAGTGATTCTATGGGTTGTCTCCACTCTGCACTAGAAAATTTTACTTTATTTAGAGACGTGCGGAGAAAAAACCTACAAGATGCAGAAAAAAAGGATAAACCTCCAACCTTCATATTGTCAGCAATAAACGCAGCAAAACCTAACTTTCATGACCAAAAAAAAAAAAACCCATAAAAATGATTCAGTACATCAGGAGAGCAGGAACAAGTCTTATTTCTGATTTTACATTTTTTACTTCAATTCAAACTATTTAGACTTTTGTGTTTTCATCACATTTAGCTTGTATTTTATATAAAATATCATCAGCTTTACAGGTTAGCTGTTCCTGTGCGCTTAAAAAGTTATGTTACCAACCTTCTAAAAAAAATTACCAAATCATTCACATTAAGTAGATTTATTATTCATTATCTGAAAGTATCCGATTAGTTTAAAAAACTAAATATGTTTTGTTTAATTTGGTTTTCAGAAGGTCACTAGTTTACTTATACTTTTAATATATATATACTGATGTACTGAAATACAGAGCAATCAACTTGTGAGTACAATGCATGTTAATATAGTAAGTATAGCATGTTTAACATAAGCACATTCACACATGGAAAGTATCAATGTAAATAAAATCATATGGCAGTAACTCTGCTGTACTTCATTGTGTAAAAGTAGCTCACGGGCCAAAAAAGGTTGGCGACGCCTTCAATAGATCGTTCAAACCTAGTGGATGCTTAGATGATTGTTTAAAGTTTTCTTTCAGCTAAATCTTCGTCCACAGAGCTCTAAAGCAAAAGGCTACTGTCCTTTATGGACTCTTTTGTGACCGTTTAAACTAATCTTTTGGGAAAAACTTTTCCATCGAACTCACAGGCGAAAAGCCAGTGTGGACTCTCATGTGTCTGTTTAAATGTGTCTTTCGGCTAAATCTTTTTACACAGAGCTCACAAGCAAAAGGCTTCTGTCCTGTGTGGACTCTCATGTGACTGTTTAAAGTTGACTTTAAGCTAAATTTCTTTCCACAAAGCTCACAAGGAAAGGGCCTCTCTCCAGTGTGGACTCTCATGTGACTGTTTAAATGTGTCTTTTGGCTAAATTTCTTTCCACAGAGCTCACAAGGAAAGGGCTCATCTCCAGTGTGGACTCTCATGTGTGTGTTTAAACTTCCCTTTTCACTAAATCTATTACCACAGAGCTCACAGGCGAAAGGCTTCTCTCCTGTGTGGACTCTCATGTGACTGTTTAAATGTGTCTTTTGGCTAAATCTCGTTCCACAGAGCTCACAATGAAAGGGCTTCAGTCCTGTGTGGACTCTCATGTGACTGTTTAAAGTTGTCTTTTGGCTAAATCTCGTTCTACAGAGCTTACAAGGAAAGGGCTTATCTCCAGTGTGGACTCTCATGTGTTTGTTTAAATGCGTCTTTTGGCTAAATCTCCTTCCACAGAGCTCACAAGGAAAGGGCTTCAGTCCTGTGTGGACTCTCATGTGAATGTTTAAATATGTCTTTTGGCTAAATCTCGTTCCACAGAGCTCACAAGGAAAGGGCTTATCTCCAGTGTGGACTATCATGTGTTTGTTTAAATGTGTCTTTTGGCTAAATCTCGTTCCACACAGCCCACAAGGATAGGGCTTCAGTCCTGTGTGGACTCTCATGTGATTGTTTAAACTTCCCTTTTCACTAAATCTATTACCACAGAGCTCACAAGCAAAAGGCTTCTGTCCTGTGTGGACTCTCATGTGCGTGTTTAAATGTTTCTTTTGGCTAAATCTCGTTCCACAGAGCTCACAAGGAAAGGGCTTATCTCCTGTGTGGACTCTCATGTGACTGTTTAAATTAGTCTTTTGGCTAAATCTCATTCCACAGAGCTCACAAGGAAAGGGCTTACCTCCTGTGTGGACTCTCATGTGTTTGTTTAAATATGTCTTTTGGCTAAATCTCGTTCCACAGAGCTCACAAGGAAAGGGCTTATCTCCTGTGTGGACTCTCATGTGACTGTTTAAATTAGTCTTTCGGCTAAATCTTGTTCCACAGAGCTCACAGACAAAAGGTTTCTCTCCTGTGTGGACTCTCATGTGTCTGTTTAAAGTTGACTTTAAGCTAAATTTCTTTCCACAGAGCTCACAAGCAAAAGGCTTCTCTCCTGTGTGGACGCTCATGTGTGTGGTTAAATTAGTCTTTTGGTGAAACCTTTGTCCACAGTGCTCACAGGCAAAATGTTTCTGCTTTGTCTGGACTCTCGTGTGTTTGTTTAAATGTGTTTTTTGGCTAAAGGATTGAAACCTGGCAGCATCAGTCTCCTTATTCAAATGGAGATGCTCTCCCTCCATACTAGACCAGAGTTTCTCCTGTTCCTCCTTTTTGTGGAGAAAATCTAGGTGCTGGTGGTTGACACGAGCACTCTGTTCTTCTGAAGCTTCTTATTTAACCAGAACCATCTGTTGAAAATCTGTAGGAAACACAGAAACATATTATGTGAATTACAGACAGCTGTAACTGTGTTTTCACACATATAACAGTTGTATTATTTCTTTAAACTGATAGTAGAATGAAATGTATTTACAATTGGAAACTGAACTTTGAGCCTCTATAAATCATATGAGCCTTAACCCTCAGGCTTCACTTTAATTTTCATACAAGAGTCATTAGAGGACAAAAGCGTCCGCTTGTAAAAGTGGCTATAAAAAATGTATACATTAATGTTTTTTTTAACTTTTTTTTCATAGATCTGTTGAACAACTTCAGCCCTGCTCAAACATAAAAAAATTCAATCATTTTGAGGCTTTTAACCCCTGAAATGCCAGTTTGAATATTAAAACATCATTGATGTAATTTATGAAGAAAAAAAAACAGCACCGAGTTATTTTGTAGAAAAACAGGTAACGAAACAGTTTCTGTGTTTTAAAAAGAACGACAGCATGGAATCAGCCTTGGATATGTCTTGGAGTCTAGCAAAATATCACATTTTATGCTTTTTTAGTTTTTGTGTAGCAGCAGATTTAAAATGTACCACCCTCTTGTGCCTGTTATGGACAAAAACGTTCCATTGACTTCAATGCAAACCACAGTTTTTGATCCTGTATTATCTGCAGCAAATATTCATGCTTTCTGTGATGTAATGGTTTCATTTTGGACAAAAGTAGTCAAATTTATGATTTTTACTCTTCACCACCAAATTCAGTCATTTCTTCATATGTTGCCCAGGCGAGAAAGTTTACACATTTCTATAGATCTTCTGCTGTTTTTATTGAAGTCAGAAGCTCAGCATGTAAACAAAACACAGTTTCACTCTCCTACTGAACATCAAAGGGTAGAAAACAAAAACAATATGTTTATGCACCTGGCTGGAGCTCAGGCACATCCAAACTCTTTGTAGTTCAGTTTGTTTATGAAAGGGCAGAAGTGTGAATGCATGCATGTGAAGTGACTCCTTGGAGCTCTTCGGTCATCTCCAAAATGACACGTTTTCCCTGGCCGACCTCTGCAGCCTCACCAGCAGCTTTCCCTGTGTTAACCTGACACTTGCAGGCATAGGAAGTGGCAACATCAGCAGTGACCCACAGTTTCAATCCGTACTTTGCTGGCTTACTTGGCATATGTTGGCGAAACTTGCACCTGCCTCTGAAAGGGACAAGCTGCTCATCAGCACACACATCTAACCCAGTGTTGAAAAGCATTTGGAGGCGATGGGTCCACATGTCCCAAATCGAGCGGATAGGGGCCAGCTTGTCCTGCCTGAGACGAGAAGGCCTGTTCAGCTCATCATCAAACCGGAGGGTGGAGTTGATCATCTTGAATTTGGTGTGACTCATGGTGGCCAGGAAGATTGCACGTCCACAGTGGTCATCCCAAAGGCTGCAGGTGGATTCCCCTTTGGACTGGTACACACCAGCCAAAATCAGGAGCCCAATGTATGCTCTCACTGCGATGTCATCAATATCCCACCAGTTCTTCACCACACGTCTTCCATTTAGATTTGTCATGTTGACGATGATTTCAGTCATTTCTGGAGTAAAGAATAAATCAAAGGAGGATACCACATCGTAAATACGTGTGATGGCGTAACGTGTTGGCCCAGGATTCAAACATCTTGCAGCAGGAACATAGTGGGAAGTTTCTGCGTTAGTAGGAAACCAGACTTGCCCACTTTTAGAAATCCATCCTGGAATCAAAAACTGTGGTTTGCATTAAAGTCAATGGGACGTTTTTGTCCTCTAATGACTCGAGTGTATAGTAAATTTTAAATCTGTTGCTATGTAAAAACTATAAATGCAAAAAATTCTAAAGTTTAGATATTTCATAACATAATCAAGACTGATTTGTACTAAACACCCCAGGCAAAAAAAAAAAGTATTTTCTAGAAAATAACTCAGTTTGAGTGTTTTTTTTCATGAATCGGGGTGATGTGGGTGTGTTTGGAGGACTTGGTCAGAAGCCGAGCACAGGCGTTCTGAACCACCTGTAGACGGTTCAGGGAGGTTCTGCTCAGACACGTGAAAAGAGAGTTACAGTAGTCTAAGCGTGAGGAGATGAAGGTGTGGAGAACTGTCTCAAGTTCAGAGCGGGACAGAATGGGACTCAGCTGTAAGGGAAAAATGAGGTTCTTACATTTTAATAAATGAGCCGTAAGGCGTGGGATTCCATAGGAAATATGAAATCCGCCTCATGGATCGGGGTTGGTTAAACCAGAAGATCGGGTCTTTTTAATGCAGAGATCATGTAACCGTTATGTATTCACTCAGAGACAACAGAATAGAACGAGTCGAGTTTAAAAGTTAAGAAATTTTATTACTAACAATTAAACTAGGCTTATTTAACAACTAAGTGTATAGTGCGACTAAAAATGGATGAGGCGGTGAATGGATGACGTGTCATGTAAATCAGAACCCGCAAACCCGAAGAAGCGATTAGTTCTGACGGGAACTGAAGATGTTGGTTTGGAATAAGCTGGGGTTCGTTTCAGAACTGCATGAGACACCATTAAAGCCGGGCGGACACTGTGCGACTTTTTCACTTTTTTGAGCCGATTTTCCAGTCGTGCAAGAATCCACGACATCGGGGCGAGTTTTGTGCCGAGCGGTCGTGTAGTGTACAGGGGGTTACGAGAGGCGATTAACACCACGTGACCAGCTACCGATCAGCAGTCGTGAGGTCGCACGGACTTCTGGAGTGTTTAATATTTTGCTCGTCCCTTTTGAGGGTATCGCACTGTTGAAGCGGCGCTGAGAGCAGCGGCGACCCAAAAAGTATCAGAACCGCTCACGGCGCATGCGCAATCCTGCATCAACGCCGCTCGCTCGCTATTTCCCTAATAACACACGCTGTTCGTTTTTGTTTCTACACGTTTTTTTACTCACAAAGATTGTCAAGAAAGCGTGTTTGTCGTGTTCATGTCAAATTAACCCTTTGATGCATGAATTATGAAATCTTCAACCATGATTTTTTAAACAATTTTTTTCATTCATTTTTAGGTGCGAATGAAACAAATTTCAACAAATATCTTTTGTAATGTTTTGTTAATTTACAATTAAGTTATTACATGTCCACCTCAGTGGACAGCGTGCATTCTGAACATGAAACATGTTGGCTGGACTTACTGAAGTCCAAATGGAGGGGCTCAAATGCAATAAAGTCTTCAACAGCTGTGCTTAATAGCAAAAATAAATAACTTTGAATACCTGTCCACTGTAGTGACCATTATGCATCAAAGGGTTAAGCTGATCACAAAACACAGATTTACTTTCTTTATTTAGTTTTCCTCATCCAACCCCCCCTGTGTGTCCTCCTGCAGCACACCTGAAGGACAACAGGCAAAACAAGACAAAAAAGTCTGTTGTGTTGAGTAAAACTGCTATTTTTAGCATATTTTTAGGGCCGACGTGTTGCTACCAGACGTACAGTGTGAGCAGTCAGGTCGCATCCGAGAACTGGGTCGTGCAGTGTGAGCGCATGACTCGTGAGATGTGCCCTGCGAGGAAGTCGTACAGTTAGAGCTGAAGCTGAGTGCTACGAGTGAAAAAGTCACACAGTGTACGCCCGGCTTAAGCCGCGCCTACCTGCCTGGCGGAAGTCCTCTGTGAGATCAGGAATGCCGAGGTCCACCCGGACCCTCTCTGGACACCGAGCTGGTAGCAGAGCTGCGGTTCCGACCAGACCCGTCTCGAGATACTGCTGTTGAGGGTATGCCCTCGTGAGAAATTGCTGCAGTAATTTTCTCCAACAGACTGTGCTAAATTGCCCTGAAAAGCATATTAAACATCAGCGCCAGCTGACACTTCATTTCCCATGATGCTTTGCACACGGAAGCAATGTGATGACGTCACCGCCGAATACCAGAAACACGTTCTGCGCATGTGCGGGAGCTCATGGACAGTTTTCCCGCCAGCTCCAAAGCTATAAATTACAACGACACGACATCGTTCTTTGTCTTTCGTTCAGTCAACTGACTTGAAGAGATTCTGCTGCGATCGCTCTGGTCAACGCGAGCACGCGGGAGGTCTAAGTGTTGAAGTGGAGCTCACGGAACCGCTGAAAAGCCAAGCCACACAAACCCACCAGGTCTGCTTTCCTGGTGCTGATCTCCAGCCAATGTATGAGGAAACGTTCCTTGCTACGATCCAGTTTGTGTGAGGACAGAACCTGGCTGGAAAACAGCGGAGGTCCATCAAACCGATGGAGAACGCTGGAAAACAGCGGAGGTCCATCAAACCGACGGAGAACGGCGATTAAAACAACGGAGAACCGTCAAATCAAACAGTGAGGGATGCCTCGCTGTTCTGGTGATAAGAGTTCTTCCTCTTCTCTCTCTCTATTTTCTCCCGTTTCCTTTATAGACTAAAATAAGCAGTCAACCGCGTGATTTGCTTCAAAATAGGAGATGGGTTTTCTCTTTTTCGTACCCAAATACGCCCGTCTGGAGTATTCCAAGAGTACACCACTCATTGGTCATTGTTTAATATCTTAAAATGGTTTCTGCTGTGGCCAAGCTGTTAACCTATCAGATAGTAATTTATGATTTATCTTTGGTGAAGCTTCATGACCATTTTGAAATGTTTTGAGTGATTTGAGGTTAAGTTACTTCTGAGTCTAAGTGCTTTGGAAGTTAAAGTGCAAGTTGCCACCCACACTTATACACACAACTTCAGCCAGACAAAGGGGTCAGACATCTTGAATTCAAGACTCCATTTTGAATCCATATACGAACACACACACACACACACTCACACACACACACACACACACACACACACACACGCACACACCTTGAACACCATTTTGAATACACACACATCTTCAATTATATCAGATTGTTTTACATTATTATTCCATTGTTTAATTAAATGTTATTCAATTCAGTTTTGCCTCAAGCGACTTTTTTTGTGTTGACTGAAAATCTCTGCTCCTAAAACGGATGCCCACAACTTCAGACAGATTAATACGAGTTTGGATTCAATTAATTTTCCCTTTCTAATCAGAATGGGTGGTGCCCCTTAGATATCTAAGAATATCTTAATTGATTAATAAATCGGTAAATATTCCCATATTTACAGAATTTATTGAAGAATCCAAAAGTAAGTAAAGATTACAAATTATTCGTTCACCTTATAACCCCAACACTGCCGGCACACGACTCTTGTCTTGGCGTCTGTTCAGACCCAGCCTGGGTCAGTGGAGCTCTTATTCTGAAAGGAGCTGTTGTCGTTGCTTGTTGTTATAGCGACTGGATTTTCTCAGCTTGTCGTGGTTCTTTCGGTTGAAGAGTTAAAGTTCAGGATTGGCCACTCCGTCACTTTGCTCTGGAACGCTTTGAACTGCATTAGAGCTGACGTGGCATCTGTTTTATACCTCGGATGTTTTGGTTTATTGTTGAATGAAAATTACCAAACACCGTCAGAAGCACGCCTCCGTCAGATCTGTAAGATTCTGATTGGATCAGTGAAAAAATGTGTCAAGTCCTTTTAACACTACGTGAAATGAGT